CCATCTGCACGTCTTACCGAGGGCGATTAGCAAGAGAACCTGCAAATGAGTAGGCTAAACATTGCATGCAGGTCATCATCTCATGATAATGCAAATCGCTTATAAGGGACTTGAACACATAAATTAGTTACAAGGGACTGAAAAAGCTTTATAATAGCCAGACACAAATTTCAGCATCAAATAACCACTAGTGAGTTTTCCAAATTGCTACCTGTAATTTAGCCAAACGAGATTGCAGCGAGCCAACAAATTGGTTGTGCTGTTCCATCAACACCGCAATGGTATCCTCATCGGCAGCAACAACCACCTCACTTACAGCTGAAAGGGGGTCTTCTCTCTTTTCATGTATGATTATTGAATTACGATGAGTTAAATTCTGTGTCAGGAAAGACAGAAATTTACTATTTTCACATAAATGACTTTAATCCTATGACATTCATGGAAGAAACAACTAAATCATGAACATTACGTGGAAAACTTTTTCAGGTATTAACAGTTGTATGTTCCAGCGATCACGTGTCCTAACGTATTGTCTATGTAGCCATAGAAATGCTTGTCTATCTATGAGATCTCCACAACTACTACACTACTAAATGAAATTGCAGTTGCCGTCCAATATTCTTCTCTAATAATAAGGAACTTTGTCAGCAGTAGAGCTACCAACCAAAATGATAGAGATCAAACAAAATTTGGGAAAAGGAAGTTCCAATGATGAATTTAGTTTTCCTTTTCCCTCAATAGTGGCATGCTAACTGCCCCACTGCGAGCACCGCCCTTGTGATTCCTGTTTGAATTAACATGTCTTGGGTTCTACCTTTTGCTCTTTCGGTTGGATAAATCAGGAATCGGGTTTCCGATGATTGTTGTTAGGTTGGTGATTTTGCACCCTTGCTGATTTTGTTATTTTAACACTGAGAGCCTTCAAGTTTTATGTTGGGCCAAGCATTATCTTCCCAAGCCTGGCAGAGTTTTGACTCAGCTCGGCTTAAGTGCACTCCTAACTATCAACTGAAACACCAGTCTCCATGTTCCTGTACTATCCTTTTCCATGATTGTGAAGGACCTAATATAACAAAAAATAATTCCACAAGGTGTACGTGGAAGCAAATCACTGAAATGCTCCCACATCCTTTGTATAATCATCATTAAATTAAGCAACAAATGGTTAATATTAATAGAAGAGCAAAATCTCAAGATGAAAAAACATTTGGAATAATAAAAATTCAGAACATCTCAGATTTGACTCATACCATATTGGTTGGAACCACATCCGGATCAGGTACCGCCCGGGCAATGCAGGAAGCAAGACCCTCATAATTAGGAACTCTGTCTCTCTTTTCCAAATTTGCAACAGTAGACTGTGTCCTTCCTAATTTTCCAAATTCAACACAGTGAGACGACCTTAACTGAGAAGTGCACTAATGGCAATAAAGAATGGTCTACCTCTTAGTTGACCTTGCATGGAATAAGGATTCCTATTTAGAATATTTCCACGGGCTTCATCTGCAACAAATGGTAAGTTTAACCAGTATAGTTAGTTCAAATTATTCCAAAGAAAAGGAAAAAGAAAAATACATTTGTTGGCAAACACAAAACTGAACACATCTTTTAAGAAATTGTACTGAGTAGAAGAAAGTAAAAAATTATGGGGAAAAACTACAGAAATGAATAAAGCAAAGGATTAAACAAAAAAGCCTTTTCCCTTCCATAGAAATTATGGTGATGGTCAGTTGAAATAGTCAGAAAATAAGAAACACAAACAAGGAACCTTGTTTGCTCAAAGAAGATTACTGAAATGTTGGCAAGGGAAACACAATTAATTAAGTATTTTATCAAAATATAACTAATTAAAATATGAATAAAATCAAGATAAGAAAAATGTGACATGAAAGGCAAGACGCACACGCTTACATATATGAAGTAGATACGGATACATACACACATATTAAAGATATTTAATTTCCTCTGTGTCCATTATGACATCCCTTTGGTTCCACAAGTAAAAGAATTTTACTGGTATACATTCACTTAACCGCTGAGAACCAAACAGGAGGACAAACACTGGGCTTTCTACAGCCAAACATTCCTCATAAAGCATCCAGCTTTCTTTTTTCTTTTTCTTTTTCTTTTCCTTTTTTTCTGTTGATAAAAATAGCATCCAGTTAGTAGTATATCTACGCAACTTACCACTAAAGAATGGTGCTAAATTTCTAGATCTAATAGAGGGCGCGTACATAAGTTATACTGAATGGGAAACCATACCTAACAACATTTCAAAAAAAATCACAGCACACAAAAACATAGCAGACGAAAAAGGTCAAGAAAACGCACAATCTTCAATTTGGTGTCTGGAAAGCGATTCCGATGCTGTATCCATTTCATGTTTTGTGGAAACTAAATTCTTGTCATCATTCACGTTTCTGTCAGTAGCAGCATTTCCAAATATTGAGCATTTAACAAAAGGGAAAATGTTCCTATCTGCAGGACTGCTACTTTCAATAGCCTTAGGTACTTCAACTTCAGACTGTGCTGCAGCAGTCGGCCTCCCAAGGTTTTCGTTGGGGGTAGGAGACTTCCAATCAGATACTTTTGGCTGCAATCTTTGTGGCATTTCCCTTCCTGCAACTCCTCCTTTCCTGCGTTCGGATGCCAGCTCCATTCTTTCATTATTTCTTGGGACAAGAACAGGTATTATCTCTGATTTATTGACAATAGAAGCATTTTCTGTTGACTGGCCTTTTGACGAATTCCTCTTTACACCAGTCGTATTAGGAACTGTTCTTGAGCTGATTGGAGGTGCTCTTGGACCAGTACTGAGATTGATTTTTTGTGAAGTGTCAGGAGTATCCGTGATAGCTTCATTCAAAAGATAAGTGAGAGTCAAATATATTGTGGCAGCCAAACTTAGATAAAAGAAGATAATCAAAGGCTAGTAGCTCGAAAATAAGTCACAAACGGGGAATTAAAGATGCAGAGTAAAAACTTAAGATAAGGTGTCAAGCTAATACTGTTAGGCAAACATATTAAAAAGGAAGAGTAGCATACTAGTAAGAGTAGTAGAATCCTTCTGAAGATCCTTGTTGTGTGACAAAGAAAGTCTTCCAAAATACTTGGATTCTTTCACAGGATCAGAGTTTTGTGAACTTAATAGTCTCCCGAAACTTGCATCTGTGGCATCCTCAGCCGGAGTGGATAAATTCGCTCTCAAATTGGATTTCACTACTGAGTGACCATTTAATCGTGTAGTACTATCCACTGTATATGGTTCAAGACACTGCAAAAGACAAACATGACAAAGTTAGACATTACTTCAATTTCTCAGAAGAAGCAAAACATCAAAAACAATTCCAATGGAAAAAGGTAACACTTACTGAAATATCGACAACCCACACTCCAACACAACTTTGATTGTAAGAACATCCAAGAAGTTTTCCTTCATGAATACTAAGATCAGACAATGTAGACCAGCCAACATCTACTGTATCATGATACCTAATTGGTTCCCACGAGAAAACCTACAAAAAAAGACTACTTTCTTTAGGGGGACTAAATGCCACATTGTATTAACGAGCTGTTTCTCAAAGAACAGCAAATGCATGCCTACCTTCAAATTCTCATGTAAACCACAAAGAAGGGTTCTTCCATCGGTATTAAAGGCCATGCAACGCACTCCTGTTGTCTAGATTTGAGATAAAAACAGTAATGTTTATTATAATGAAAATTCAAGCAGTCGCCAAGACACATGAGAAACATTCAGCAGTTATACTGTAATGACAAAAGGAGATCAAAGAGAAGACCCAAACAAAGATGACTACAACAAACCTCAGGTCCAGCAGAACCTATGAGTTCAAAAGTTTCAAGGTCCCAGAATTTAACTGTTTTGTCAGCAGAACCTGGTAAGCCAAAAACCAAGAACAAATTACAAGGCATCCGACAACTTTGATGATAAGAGATAATGCAGCACAACTCTCAAGGTGACCTTTTTTAATTAATTTGAGCCCTTTCTCCAATCCTCACACACACCTACCCCTACCCCGCCCTGAATTTGGTTAGGTTAACAGCACTAATAGCCTGCAACTGAAGATGCACGCTTCAATTAAGTGAACACCTTAAAATTTCTCAAAACTTAATACAGTATTTTCATGTCTCGGTTCCCCCTCCCTCTTTCTCAACTGCCAATTTAATCACGAAAAAAGAACCAACTGGTAAAACTTAATCTCCAATAATTCGACACAAAAATATAGACATCACTTTTAAAATGGGGTTCCTGGTATATTTTCAGCAGAAATGCCTCAGGAGAACCTCAAAGCTAAATTGAAACTAATCACTACTGGGGAAAAGAGCGCTATTGTTCAGATTTCCTTTTATTTTGGTTGAAGAAGGAAAACTCAACAACGAGGAAAGAAGAGAGTATTGTTTCATGGGGCAAGCAACGTTTATATGAAAAACATATTGCTGGGTATCAACTCCCCTACATATATGCACCAAAATGAGACAAAGCATTTCTATATACTTCTTACGTAAATACTTACATAAGAAAACAGATTTCTTATATATAAGTAGACAAATCAGTTCTATAGATAGTACCCCAAGGTGGAAACCAACAGATCTGATTGGAGAGGAAAGGACTAAACTGGAGATATTGGATACTGGAAGAACAAAAAAATAAGAAACAAGAACGAAACTAATCACAGTGGATAAACTTATTTAGAGCATGAAGAATCAGTACGCAGAACTTATCAAATCTGGTCATAAGTCCAGATAAATGAGTATACTCTTCTCAATTTGTCATTTCCTTTTCAAAATGTCTGGTTATTTTTTCCTCAGAATATCACCACAGGAAAAGTTTAGGTTGCCACTAGAATCAAATTCTACATAGATCATGGCATACATCAGCGAACTCATTTCAGGAATATAACAAAAGTTGCAGGAGGATGTACAAGACAACAAGAAGTATAACCTTCACTTAAACTCCAGGTTTCTGGGAAAAGAACAATGTAGCACAATGTCAAAGCTTTGTCTAACCTGTTGCCAGTAAAAATTCATGAGGATGAAAGTCTATTGACCGAATTTGTCCTTCATGACATTTGAAATCATGTAAAAGCTTTCCTGCAGTTAAATCCCATATCTGCCACAACACCAAATCTATTATTAGGATAATCATACTTAAGGAGCTTAAAAGCTGTTACACCTACTTGATATCAAGCAAACCAATAATGTCCTAGAAAGAGAGCCACGCGGAACAAGGAGACCACTTGAAAGAATAGATTTTAAACACAAAAAGTGCAACAAAAATTCGACAAGGCTCCTGGGGATTTTTGCGAAAACTGAATCGCGCGCTTAAAAAATAACAAAAATTACTTCATATAAATGAACTTAGTAGTTGCAACATCAAATTTGCACTTAACATTACTAATTTTAACGTCCAATATACAATAATAACAGTATGAATCTGAATTCAAATTCAATATGTCAAGATGTAATCTCAGACAAGCCACTTCAATCAAAATATGATCTCTTTTGTTCTTCAATTGATCTGACAAAAATATAAGTTTGCATAATTTAATTTCATATTTAATTGCCTAAGTAAACTGTATTAATTGTTACTCTGATTACATGTTTTTTGTTTTCTAACAATCAGCCTATAAATCAAGAATTGAAACAATACAAAACAAATAAGAGAACAGATAAGAGAACAAAATAAGAACTTTGATAACAAGAGACTAGAAGAAAGATGCAGGTAGGAAGCCCATATACGAAGTAGCAAAGAAAAGGAACCGCACACCAAAAGAAGAAGAAAGGATCTTCGTGAAGAAAGAAGAAGGGAATAAAGAGCAAATCAAGAGAAGCGGAGAAATAAGATTAGTGGCAAAGAGTCGACCCAAACTGGAAAAGAAGAAGATGATGGCAACGATTAGAAGAATGAGTGTCGAACTATCATTTTATAATCCTTTAAAGACAGATTCAAAGAAATTCCTTCTCACTTAGAATGCTATGCACTTCATTGCTGCAACCACACACTTCTTGCAAGTTGCATCACTTCACCCATAAGAACTGATAACCCCTCGCTTTGCATCACTGTCACTTTAAGTCGTGAAGCGCCACTTTTTAGTAACAGTGGTTTTCATCATGGTCATAAAAATGTGTTAAGTACATCCATCATTCAATCATCCCATGACCATGTTTAAGCTAGCAATGGACTAACCTATAACGAAGTAAATCCAAAACAAGTAGCTTCTGTAAGATGCAGCAAGTTTGAAGTCATCAACATAAGTGAATGTTTCATAAGTTGGTGAATGGCAATAATCATATGTCCTTTTTTTCTTTTTTACCTTTTTGAGTTTTGTGGTTTAGACATCATCCAAAACAGTACTAAGAACATATGAAATGGCTCCACCCAACCATAAGAAGGCACATCAATGTGTAAGTTCGCAAATATATTACTGAACAAGGAAAAACATGAAAGGGAGAAGTCTGACCTTTACGGTACTGTCTTCTCCACCAGATACAACCCAGCGGCCATCTGGCGTGAACCTGATGGTGTTGACACCTCTACTGTGCCCTTTGTATGTGTGAGTGCACCCTTTGCGTCTAATATCCCATATCTTTAGATTTGTGTCCAGAGACCCAGATGCAAAGAACTCACCAAAGGGATGGAAGTCCAATGATATACAATTGGATCTATGTCCAGTGAGAGTCCGAAGAACTGAGATAGACAGAGAGTGAATTTATAAATTTCACAGTAAACAACAAACAAAATGAAAAGAAAAAAGATTATAACAAGCATACTCTTGGCCTCCTCTAAATCCCAAAGCTTGATAGTACCACTTGCTGCTCCTGCAGCTACCAGAACTTCTGAAGAATCAAAGCTAACTGAATCAATTCCGCTTGAATGACCTGACAAACTCTACACAAGAATACAGATACAGGACCATGTGTAAAAACAAAGGATATTGCCGCTAAAAGTTTTGCATCTTAACAAACAAAGAAAGTTATAACGTAAAGGTTAAGCCCCAAACAACAGCCTCAATCAAGGAAAACATTTTCCAGAAAGAAATTTTCTCCTGCTCTCCAATACTCACTCAAAAAGTCATTTTCCCTCTTTTAGTTGCCAGAAAAAGATTTAAACATAACAGATTTTGCTGCTTCAGAGTGTAAATTATATTTTATGATTAAGTATTCACCACTTGTACTCATATAGCTTCCTTTTTGGTTAAAGATAAAACACATTTTGATCTCAATGCAATTATATACATAACAAAGGAATTGAAAGTACAGCTAAAAGAGAGAAAAAAATACTCCAGTAGGTACTAACCAATATGGCATCAGGCTTGCCAATGGACCAGAGGTTAACCTTGTGATCTTCTCCCCCGGTTACAAGAACCCTGGATGATTTCCTCCCTATCTTTAAGCTATTCACGCTTAAAGAATGTGCTACAAATTCCTCTAATTACAAAGAATTGTCAAGGTCTGCAAATTATAGCTTCAGTTCTCAAATGTACCATTCATTCCCCTCCACCCCCATGTTTCCACAATAACAACAACTAAGCCTCAGTACCAAACAAGTCAGGGTCGACTATACTAATCCTTTTTTTTTTTTGAGAATAAAGGTCGACTATACGAATCCTCACTGAACACGTTACTCCATTTAAACTCATCTCATGCCAAGATTATGCAAAGAGTTTAAGATTTATGCACTGCTATGTACTTTTTTTTTTCACACCATAAGGTCATTAAAAGGTAATAGTAGCTAATTTCATTTAATAAGCACTAATTAGTAACATGTAATAAAGGGTAAGTAATGCTTTAACACATTAAATTGCACTCATGATGAAAAAAACTCTACACTATATATAACTTAAAATCTTATACTAATACTCCCCCTTTACTATACAATAAACAAAAATCATTAAGAGCCTAATCAAACCTATTGGTCTACCTACCACCCATATCAATCTTCTATATTCGTCTACATTTTTCAATAATTATGAAGAAATTGTGTCCCTATATGCTCAATTGCAAGCCAAATAGCAAAATTAAGCAAATAAATTGAAATTTTAAAATAAAAACAAGGATACGTAGCTTATAAGCACGTTTAGTGGTTGTCATTGAGAAATTCAAAACAAGGCATCAACTTGTCGATTCACAGAGCATACCGCATTCAATAAACCCCTTGATTTTTGTCCTTTCTGATAGAATTTAGAGTCAGTGGATTCGAAGTAAAATGCATTAAATATATTTTATATATTATAGGAGAAATGAGTAGGTTCGGTAGAAAGCTTACAATGTATAAAGGCTGAGAATTTGGGGATTATTTTATGGAGGATAAATTGAAAACTAAAATGGCATAGAAATGTTAACAATGGCGAAATGCAGAAGGAGAAAAAGAAAATTTGAGAAGGTGAAAAGAAGAAGGAGAAATGGCGCTTTCGAGATGACAAAATTAGTAAATCAATTTTTAATTTCAAAATGATTCAGAAAAAATGGAAGTGCAGCCTATCTCAGCCGTTAATCACTGGACGAGACCTCATCCAACGGCTGAGATCTGAACTATTTTTGTAAAATGACTTTTTAAAATTTTGAACAAAGTAGGGGTTTTATGTAATCATTTTTTTTATTTTACTTTATAGAAAGGAAAAGGTGAAGTTTAATTATTTAAGGCTTCTACTTTCTTTCTTTCTCATATTTAGAAAGGGAGTTGTGTGTAGTAATGATTAAAGTGTAATTATCTTATATTTAACTCGTATGGTTATTTTGTTCCAAATTAAAATTTGTGGTTTATCAACACTTTATAATTTGAAGTTAGAGAGGGAAGACAAAGGAATAAAGAAAGAGTAAAAGCAATTTGGAGGGAAGACAACTCAAAAGAAAAATCTTGAGAATATTTTCAAAAAATAGCTATTTAAGAGCATTCTATAAGGGGCCGTTTGATTTAGAATATTATAATTCTGCAATTGTAATCTCATATCCAATATGAAATAGTCAATACTGAAACTTTGCTATAAAATTTATCCTAATATTAGCTAAAATCTATGTATACGGTCAAGATCAAGGAGCCCGATTTCGAAATCTTAAATTGGGCTATAAGTCCGAGTCCAGGCGACTCGAAGTGGGGGTCAGACCCAGCTGAAGTAGACACACCTCGAGGGAGCAAATCGAAGGCCTGACACGACCTACATCGAGGGCAATACAATTTCGAGGACACTCAAGAAAGAGCGGGAATTTCTCAAGTACACGTGGATCAAGGCATGAATTAAAAGATAAGATTTGTACGAGATGGTACAGGTCCGTACATTCTTTGCCACAATTAGGAATGTACTGTATTGGGGTTTTCTCCCCCTATATAAGGGGGATCCCAATCATTTTTAAAGATATCTCATTCACTGCAATAGAATATTCTATTCTGCTTTTCTCGTTTACCGTGCTCAACAATTGTTCTTCAGCTTTATCATTTTTACTTTATTGTTCATACTTTATTGGTTCTTAGCTCACCTCGAGGCCCCCGAGATTATGGAGCTCGAGGTCTCCGCTGCTCCAGCAACACTCAATTTTTCTTACTTAAACCTAATATTGCTCGTATATTTACTAGTATTGGAATAAATCACATATCTTTAAAACCACAAATTATCTTTAATTGTTAATCACATTTTTCGAAGTAAACAGTTTGGCGCCCACCGTGGGGCTAAAGATAATAGTGATTATTTTAGTGCTAGTTTTTTGATAACACACGCTATTCTTCACACTTCTTCTTGTCAAAGATTATTTGATTTCAGGCTAAAACATGTCTAGCACACAAAATGCACCTATTCACGACGACGAAGGTCTTGGAGAAAACAGCGGTATATGGGTCGGTGCACCACTCATAAACCCTGAGGAAGTGCCAAATATGGAGCCTGTTGATATCAGCTTGCATAACGCTCTAAACGCGGATTCGGGTGCAGACCCCATAGGGAATGCGCACAGGGAAGCCCGCCCCAATGGCCAAAGAACACGAGGAATGGAAGAAGGAGGAGTTAGCCTCTAGGTGATATTCAAAATGCTGCAAGCCCAGCAAGTCGTCATCGCTCAACTTCAGAGTCAGAATAGAACTCCAAACACAACCGAACTAGTGAACACTCGGCGTGCTAAACGAGCGCTTGAAAGGCCCGTTGAAAGTGGCTTAGGGACTGACCCCACGATTATGAGAATGCTCGAAGAGCTCGCCAAAAGGATCGAGATCAGAGAAAAGAAGATTGAAGAAAATTACAAAAAGGTAGAGACATACAACTCAAGGGTCGACCAGATACAGGGAGCACCTCCGATTTTGAAAGGACTGGACTCGAAGAAGTTCGTGCAAAAACTATTCCCACAATGTGCGGCTCCGAAGCCCATCCCGAAGAAGTTTCGGATGTCAGATATCCCAAAATACAACGGAACCACTTATCCCAACGAACACATCACCACATATACTTGTGGCATAAAAGGAAATGATTTGGAAGACGATGAGATTGAGTCTGTTTTGCTAAAAACGTTTGGGGAAACTCTGTCTAAAGGTGCCATGATTTTGTACCATAACTTACCCCCGAACTCTATCGATTCGTTTGCCATGTTGGCAGACTCATTTGTAAAGGCACATGTCGGTGTCATAAAAGTTGCAATAAGGAAGTCCGGTGTATTCAAAATAAAGCAAAGGGAGAACGAGATGCTGAGGGAGTTTGTATCCCGTTTTTGGAGTTACCACCGGTCTTCGATGACTGGGCCGTACAAGCCTTTACTCAGGGGCTAAATGAACAAAGTTCGATAGCTTCGAAGTAGCTGAAGCAAAATTTGATCGAGTATTGATAACTAGGGATTCTAGTCTATTTTTTGCTCCCTTTTGCTTGAGTTTTGATTAAAAGTGTGTACAAGTATTCCCATAAGCTAACTCATTGTGTTTGTTTGCAGTGTTTGGTCAAAAAGAAACAAAAAAGTCAAAACCAGCTCAAAAAAGGAGTGAAACCTGCACAAGTCAAAAGCTGAGTCAACTAAGAGCTACAACGGAAAATCAACCGCGGACGCGGTGGCCTTACCGCTGAGGCGGTCCTTTTATCGCGGTCCGCGGTGGCAAGGTTGAGAGATTTGTCATTTTTGGGATTTCAAGTCACCGCTGACCGCGGTGATTTTATGCGGCAGCGGTGCCTCTACCGCGATAGCGTTCGTTTTATCGCGGTCAGCGAAGGAGAGGTTCAAAGAGTCTACAGTTGAGCTGAATGTTGAAGACCGCGGTTCGCACTTGATTTTATGCATCCGCGGTAGACTCACCGCTGCAGCGGTCCATTTTCTGCTGTCAGCGGTAGCTCCGCCAGGGGCATTTTTGTTCGGAAAATTTAGCTGTGTATAAATACTTCTTTTTCAGATTTTTAGGTCATCTTATCTCAGCTGAGCACGTGAACCAGCCGATTTTCCCTTTTTGAGTAATTTTAGAGCTTGTTTAACAATTAATCTTAGACTTTTATCTTGTAATTAATTTTATGGGTTATTCTTCATCTCAATCTTTGATTTCTTCAGTTATTATGAGTAGCTAGACCGATTAGCTAGGGTTGTGGCTCAACCCTAGTGTGGGTATTTAATAGATCTTCCATTTTAGGGCTTGGATGTATATGGATGATTGATATTTGGCCTGATTGTGCTTTTTATGTTGAATTAGTGGTTGCAAACACTAATTTGTGCCTTTTTGACTTAGGCTCTTCTTGAGAAAGAGAGCTTAAGTCTAGGAAAATCAGGTCAACAAGGAACTGAGGTGTATTCAAGAGATTGATAGCCCCAATTAAAGGGTTAAACTTAGATATAGTAATACCCGACTTGAGCCAATTTTTCTTGCACAAATTGAACACCCAATTGGGCTCGAGAAAGCCAATTAGGGCAAAGTCACTCAAACTACCGAGAGGTATAGAGTGAGTAGCTTCGTGCATTGGCTATATCATGATCCCAACTATAACATTATTGCCCTAAGTTCTAGATCCCGTTAGATACTCACCTATGAGTAAGTTACTTCCCTAGTGTCTCTTTACCAATTTAGAAAACTCTACAAAAATATCTACTTAGTTTAATTTCGTGCATCATTAGTATAGAATTAGAAGTAGCAAACAAACAAAAGAATGATTGGAAGTGCAATCAAGAGCACTACACACTGCTAGATTAGATAGGAATCCAACTCCAAATATATCTTAGCTCCCTGTGGATTCGATCCCGACCTTCTCGGGTAAAAGCTGCATCGACCACTCTTGCCACTATACAGTGGTGTAGGGTTGGATCCGATCACTTTTTGGCACCGTTGCCGGGGAGCTAAACGGTTTTGGCTATCTATCTGACTAGTTTTGTGTTTTGTTTTTCTTTCCTTCTGTGTTACTAGCTTGTGTGAATCATCAATTCAGGTACAAAATAGCGAACAACGATAATCTTGGAAATGTTATTCTAGGGGAGGAGGTAGATGATAATATTGATGATGAGGTACCTATAGTGCCTCAAGCTCAAAGGAGAGGCCGACAGACCAATGATAATGTTCCAGACCCTCCCCCGCCTCCTCCAAGAGTCGCTCCTCGGGTGCTTCCAAACGAAGGATATGCAAGTGCAATTGTCCCACCCCGGATCCGGGCGGGCAATTTTCAAATTACAAATGTAATGCTGACTTTATTGGAGTAGCGATGGTACTTCACAGGTGCTCCCCATCAGAATTCATATAAACATCTCAAGGGCTTTGTGGAAACCTGCTGGGGAAGCAAACAAACTAATGTGTCAGATGATGTATTGAGATTGAGATTATTCTCTTTCTCACTTAAAGGGAAAGCTTTGGACTGGCTCGAGAGACTCCCCAACCATTCTATCACTACTTGGGATGAGTTGGCCGATAAGTTCATAGCCAAGTTTTTCTCACCGGGACATATGGAGGTATTTAGGGATGAAATCTTAGCATTCAAACAGGAACTAGGGGTGTTCATGGTTCAGTTTGGATCGATTTTTCCCTAAAAAGAAACCAAACCAAGTAAATCGGTTTTTCAAATATTAGAACCAAACCAAACCAATTAAGTTGGTTTTTTCTCGATTCGGTTTATGTCGGTTTTTCGGTTTTTTCGGTTATTTGTCGGATTTTTCTTAAATATAAGACATACACTACTAAACACACATTTCGGCGACCACATTTTCAACGTAACACTATCAAATCAATTGCCCTTTGAGAAATCTATTATTTACCAAGATATATTGATGATAATTGAATTAAATAGTGATGAATAATTTAAGGACTCAATTAAAAATATATTATTTTTAACATGAAATAGATTCTTACACTTAACAAAAGAAAACTACCAACTAAACTAGAATGTAAAGGTAAAGAACTGTACTAAAAGTGCAAACAATTAATATTTATTATAAAATATTTAAAACTTTGTATAAAAGTATACATATATATAGGTGTAATAATAAATTTAAAATAGCTACT